AAGCCCAAAACTAGGCCCAATAAGCTTAAAACCCAAAAAGTCTTATACTAAGGCCCATAATACAAGACCAAACATTATAAACTCCTATACTACCAAATATATGAGAAAGGTGGTCATCCATGTAAAACCCAAGTAAAGAGAACCTTAAGCCCACCAAACTCATTGGGCTCACTAAGCTCAGAAGTAAACAAAAGCCCAAAGGCCCATAAAGCCCAAAATTAGGTCCAATAAGCTTAAAATCCAAATAGTCTTATACTAAGGCCCATAATACAAGACCAAACAATATAAATTCCTATACTACCAAATATATGAGAAAGGTGGTCATCTATATAAAGCCCAAGTAAAGAGAACCTTAGGCCCACCAAATTCATTAGGCTCACTAAGCTCAAGCAATCAAAAGTCCAAAGGCCCATAAAGCCCAAAACTAGGCCCAATAAGCTTAAAACCCAAAAAGTCTTATACTAAGGCCCATAATACAAGACCAAACAATATAAACTCCTATACTACCAAATATATGAGAAAGGTGGTCATCCATGTAAAGCCCAAGTAAAGAGAATCTTAGGCCCACTAAATCCATTAGGCTCACTAACCTCAGAAGCAAACAAAAGCTCAAAGGCCCTTGAAGTCCAAAACTAGGCCCAATAAGCTTAAAATCCAAAAAGTCTTATACTAAGGCCCATAATACAAAACTAAAAAGCCTAAGGTTCTCTTTACTTGAGCTTTACATGGATGACCACCTTTCTCATATATTTGGTAGTATAGGAGTTTATAATGTTTGTCTTGTATTATGAGTCTTAGTGGATGACCACCTTTCTTATATAATATATATATATATATATATATATATATAATTATCTCTATTTCTAATTATTATCCTTCATATCTATAAATATATATTATCTCAAGTCCCAACAATATTTTCAGAATTAGGAATTAACTATAAAACTTATTTTCCAAAAATGAAAAGACAACATCTAATAAAGCGGCATTTTATTGAGGAAAAAATAAACGTTACTCAATTTATGATTCATCAGAATCAAGAAAATTTAGAAAGATTAAAATTAGCTTATTTAGTCATAAACATTTTTAAAAATATGAAAACATTTTTTTTAATAATTTAAGATTTTTATATTTAACTAGTATTTTAACTTGTCCACTATATCTAAATATTTAAGATTTGATTATTTTAAAATGAAGAGATTTGACTTTAAAAAATAAAATATAATAATAACTGTTATTAAAAAATTAATTTTAAATATAATTAATTTTAAATTTGATTATACATGTATTTAATTTTATCATTGTGATAGGTTATTAGTTATTATACTTTATTTTCTAAAATAAAACCTCTTCACTTTATTTAGAAGAGTTAAATCCATAATTAAAATTTATAAAATTTATAAAAATAATTATTTTTATTTATTGATAATTTATTTTACAATATTAAAATTTAATTTATAAATAATTATAATAAATAAAAATAGAATTAAAAAAGAAATAAAAACTTAAAAGTTTTTTTTTAATAAAAAAATAGGGGGGTTGATTTTACTAAAACTTTCCCGTACGTAAGTATTTTTTGAGAATTAGCCGATTGATTTTGGTTAAGAAAAAGAAATTATGGAATAGAATAATGGGAAATGGAAAATAGAAAGGGGGAGGCTCAGATAGTGGTATTGTGAGGCAAGAGCGAGGGCAAGAGAGTGTGGCTGCGACCACATCAGAGTCACCTCGCCATAACACTCATCAATGTCTGCTCGCCTCCTATTGCATAAAACATCATCACTGCCTCTCACACGAGGAGGAAGAAGTTGCCAAGATGATGATGATGATGATGATGAGAGAGAGAAAGAGAGGATTGCATTTGCATATATATATATTTATGTGTGTGTGTGTGTGTAGACTGTACAGGAAGAATCATCGGCAATAGCAGAACCATCCACCATGCTATGCCTCATTGCATGCAAAAGGAAACAGAGATAAAAGAGTGTGTCACCGGCTGCGTAAACACCACGCCTCGCCGCGACACACTCTTCTCTTTCACCGCAACTTCCTCAATACTTCATTTAACCCTAATTTTATATATTATATTGGGCTCACTCCTTTTTACTTTTTTTTTTTTTTGTCATTGGGCCTAGACCCTCTTTCATGTAATAAGGTACCCACAAACCTTTTCTCCTATTCGAAATTCGAATAATACTATTTATGTAATAATAATGCATCATTATTATAAAATAACAAAATTATTGTTTATAAAACTTAAAGATAATTATTATAAGATGTAGGGATTTAAAACGTAACTCGTTCGTGCAATGAACTCGTTCCGACCCATGAGAGAATTGGATCGGGTTGGCCCAAAGAGAAAAAGCACAAAGAAAAGGAGCGGGACTACTGTACCGTGTTATCCGCAACAGAAATCGTCGATGGCTGTGGCTGTGCGCGCTTTCCACCAACTACACTCGCAATCGCACTCACACTCACACTTTCCATCAATTCCTCCGCACTCTCTCCGACTCACACTCAATGCTTCGCCGCTCTTCAAGCCACGACCTCTCACTTCCGTCGGAATCTCGCTGCTCCCGGAGAGGCGTTGCATGCCGGTGCCTGGCGTCGTAGAGGAAAGCCAGGAGAGTTCCGAACCGGAACCGGAACCGGAACCGGAACCGGAAGTGAAGACGAAAGCGGAGTTGGCGTCGGAACTGAAGAAGGCAATGGAGGAGAGGAAGGATAATTTGTTAAGCGGAGTGGCGCGTGAGATCGACGAGATCGAATGGCCCGCTTTTGGAAAGGTGCTGGGAACCACCGGCGTTGTCCTTGCCGTTATCTTTGGTTCCAGCGTCGTTTTGCTCACTGTCAATGCCGTTTTGGCCGAGCTTTCTGATCAGGTTTTCGCAGGAAAAGGGATTCAGGATTTCTTCACCTGACACACGAACATCGTTTCTTTCGTGCAATTTTCTTCACTAACCTTTCAATTTTATTACTACCAATTCATGATGGACCTTCTCTTTAGGCCAACTTTCTACGGATTCAGAGAAATTATTATTTGTTTTTCACCATTGCGGTCTCTCTCTGTAACATATACTGTACTGCTAGAGTTGTCGAGTTATGATATTATATTGCGTTTTTTATATGCGAATTCCGCTGCATAAGGTTTCTGAGACACTTGTGTTCCTAGAATAGTGAATACTATGCTCATCATATACTGGCACTTGATTTAAGAGCATTACTAAATAATAGGAATTGATATTTTTAAGTACACAATTGCACACTTGGCATAACATTGTTTACACTCAAGGTTTCTGAATTTACTGAAATGTCATAGATCAAGAGAAAACCTTGTTCTCCAATGCAATTTTATTCCCTCTTTCTTTTAATACAACATTTCTGTTGTAGTCTTTTGGAGCAAGTTTTATTTCAGAATCACAAACACTATTCTGACAATCTATAGTTCAAGCCTGTTAAAATTAACACGAAAAAACACAAGTGCAAGCAGCTTAAACTTAAAGGCTTAAATGGGAATTCAGGGCTCAAAGGTCATGCTTTCAGCTTCGCGTCGCACTGACTCAAACAGCACGGAGGACAGGTACCTCTCGCCGAAGCTGGGAAAAACAGCCTGCACCATATTAAAATGGAATCATAGCTTAGAAAGCGCACCATAGTTTCAGTAACTCAAGTGAAATAAATAAACACAAACGTGAAAATATATATACATATGTTGCCAGTTAAAACTTAAAAGCTATATTATCATGTTTCTGGTTTACATCAAATCAGTTCTACCATCACTACAGTGTTTCTGGTGGAACTGATCTGTTGTGAACCAGATTAATTCCTACGGGATATTCGGGTAAAAATGTTTTATACGGACCATACATAAAAATTAAACTTAAACTCAAAAATGTATCTACGTGTCTTTCTTAAATTAACAAAAATAAATAAAATCACCGGCCTTTGCAATCCTAAACCAAAATTTCATATGGTTAAAACAAACAATTCTTAGGTAAGCTTTTCCCATCTGTAATGTCATGTTATTGTGGTCCAAGAGATCACCAGTTCATTTGTTGAATACTATGCATAACGATTACACTATTAATTCTTTTTACTTTTCTCAATATACATTACTAAATATACTTTCAACAAAAATTTAGGGATACATCCACTTACAACAATAAGCTTCCCAGCATTTTCTGCTCTTTTTGCTATCTTAATAGCAGCAGCTGCTGCAGCTCCAGAAGATATTCCCACCTACAACAATATCCAGAGTGAGTGGTTCAATCAACTATAAAATTAGAAAAAGAGGAAACGTTATAAGTTATAACCAGCTTATTTTTTTTACCAAATCCAAATATTCATTACAAACTAGGCTCAACATAGTACATAGTAGCCGCTCACTTTTGGCTGTTTCTATAGGTTTAGAACTTACAAATAGGCCTTCTTTAAGCGCAAGAAGCTTTGCAGTTTCTATTGCTTCATCACTTGATATCTGCAAATCATACATATCTCAAGTTTAATGGAAAATTTTAAAAACAAATACTGCAAAAAGATGATATATTTGATGTCTCTCTAATACAATACTTCAATCACAATTTTATGTTTCATATTTTAAATTTTTTTATAGATTCAATCATATCTGCTAAAAAAATCAATTATGATATAGTATTAGAAGTGAAGTTCTTTATTACAAAATATTTATATGTCGAATAATAATTTGCCCATATTTGTATTCCTAGCCCTAAATCGGCACCTAATCTTGAAAGATATCTAGAATTCCCATTCTCTATATAAAACTGTTCAACTACATTTGACATGAAATTTAACCAGATTAGATATAATTACGTAAATTAGAACTCAGAAGTTAACTATAACTTTTTCCCTAGTCAGAACATGCCCAGGGAAGAGAACCATAGTGTTTTAGGACTAGGTTATATCACAATAATTTAATAGGTTCTCAAACTGGCAATGACCAATGAATACAAAAATTCTGTTTTGTTAAGTGAAAATTGTATCGATATTATCACATAATAAAACAGGAAACTGCTAGATCAAATCCATATCTAAAATAGGTGTAAGAATGTCAAGTGATCAATAATTGGGTGTAACAACTATAAACACATGAATCATCCAATTTTCAAAAACTCTACATGGGAAATTTAAATAAATATTTTCATAAACAACAATATTTTTAAAGCATGATTACATGATAGCTTGAATAATATAATTATTATCTACAAGTAATTAAAAGCTTACCTGAACGACTTCATCAAGAATATTGACTTCCAAGACACCAGGGATAAAACCAGCACCAATCCCTTGAATCTTGTGTGGACCTGAACATTCACAATGGAAATTCAGAAATGAACCACAACTAGAATATAAAGTTCTTTACCTCAACCCTAAGGAATTATTCTAAATAAAAATTGAGAAAACTATAGCAGTTAGTAGTTACAGCCTACGGAGAAGTTGTTCTCCCGGAGAACAAAACAAAAAAGAAAAAGACAAATAGGAACTGATTTATAGTTTAAAGGTATATTTTAAGCTGAAGAAAATATAGCATAATCACAGTGACAACAACTTTACATGATTACGTCTTACTACAGAGTATGTGATTAGTCCAAATATCAATCTAGTCAAGCGACCATGAAATGGTGTCAAGAAAAAGTCATAACGAGGAAAGAATGCTGTATTATGAAGAAACCTAGTGATAATCTTCTTTCAATGATTTGGACCAATGGAATAATTGAAACCCAGCCCCTCAAGTATGATAGGAGGAAAGTGAGATGGGGGTATTATCCAATAATACCTTCAATGCAATCAATTTTTAAAATGGCAGCCACTAAAGTTTACATGGTAAAGTAATGATCATGCCTTAACCCATCAAGTGGATTGGCTACATCATCAATAGATACCATTGTTTTCTATCATAACCAAAATTCCTGTAAAACCAAGAAGAGAATGGCAAGAAAGGAAAAGGTAAAAGCAGGATGAGCCTTTTTCAGGTTAGTTTTATTTTTAATGGTTTCTCCTAAAGTTTTCTTGAGTTCCATTTGATTTACACAGCTTTTAAACGCTGAAAAGAAAAGAAAAACAAAAAAAACAAATTCTAATGCAAGAATTTTATTATCACCCCAAAAAACTAGATTATTACAGAAGAGGTTATAACTCACCAGGCTTTCCTCCTGAGAGCACTGGACTTTCAACTGGTTCCACACCAATCAGCTGCATAAAGGGAAAAGATGTTGAGTACGTGAGAAAATGAATGATTATAGCCAATAACAGAGATAAGTTCTCTTGTTCAAGTATCCCTAAATGTACCTAAACATATATTAAGAGGAAAAAAAGAAAAAAAAAAACTAACCTTGATATTTGGATTCTGCTCTTTCAGATATTTTCCTGCACCTGTTATTGTACCACCAGTGCCTATCCCAGAAACAAATGCATCAATTTTCCCATCAGAGCCTTTCCATATCTCTGGACCAGTGGTTTCATAGTGTATCTGTGATGACAATAAACATTGCTCAATGTATCAAGAAACAGTTGTACGAATTACAGAAAAAATGTGCTTACATACCTTGGGATTGGCAGGGTTTTCAAATTGCTGAAGCATGTAAGCATTGGGCGTCTTAGACAAAATCTCTTCAGCCTTCTGAACAGCTCCTTTCATTCCCTTTGCAGGGTCTGTGAGAACCAACTCAGCACCAAAAGCTAATAGAATGATTCTTCTTTCAAGACTCATAGAAGCAGGCATTGTAATTATGAGCTTGTAACCCCTGGCTGCTGCCATGAAGGCTAATCCAATGCCAGTATTACCACTTGTTGGTTCAATGAGGACACTCTAGTAAAATAAGAAACCCAAATATGAGTATTATATATTAAATTACCAACTCAGAGATATACTAAATTAATACCCAGAATTCCTTTTCTCACTATACCCCATCCAAGTATTTTACATATCAGTTGTAAACAACAAATTAACAGTGTGTTCATTCAGATCTAAAATAACTTCTATGAGAGTAACACGAATTTCATTATTTAAGTTTATTTTATAGAAATTTTGAACATTTTATTTAAATTTGGGTCAAACCTCCCATATAACCTTCACCAAAGAGGACGATCCAGCCAAAATTGTGTTTTTCTTGAAGGCAAATTGTACAGAAAGCTATCCTACATATATATTGAGTAATTCGGCAATGAACCATTTTTGTCTTACTCCTTCACACTTGAAGGTTTAAGAACATTATGATTCAGACACACACACACAGAGTTAATCATGATATATCTGTTTATACCATTCCAATATGACAGCTTTACTAATCTACTACTAGCTTCACTTCTCTTCAATTATCAAGGTATACCAACCTTTCCAGGTGTGATAAGTCCCTTCTCTTCTGCATCAGCAATCATACTATACCCAATCCTGTGTGTCAAAAAAAAAAAAAAAAAAAGAGAGAGAACATGGCTCATAAAAAGGATATGCCGAGCATAATGTTACTGGAAGCATTTACTTAAAGAATCAAGACTCGTGACAAGGGAAAAATAGCTACCTGTCCTTTACACTAGAGCATGGCTCCATCAACTCCAGTTTAGCAGCAACTCGGGCAACACAACCATCCGCAATTTTATTTAGATATACTAATGGGGTTTTACCAATCAACTACATAAAAAATTGACATCAGGCAACAGTACATAATCTAGCAATAAACACTACTAACAGGGGAAGAGTCCAGTAAGAAAATTCATGTAGAAATGGGCATCGAGGTTCACAAACTCACTTCCGTAACATCTTTCGCAATTCCAGACCTTTCAACAGCCATGATATCCGCTCACTACAAAGCTGACAAACAAAAACAAATTATTAGCATTGAACTTTCAAATTCCAAATCCACAACCACAAATCTACCAGTTCTCTTTAGTCTATACTAAAAATGGGGTGGTGGTGGGGGGGGGGGGGGTTAA